CTATTGGGATGCAAGTAATTAATCTATTTATGATCTTTTTTTATTAGATTAAAATGAGTTTCAATCGATTAACTAATAATGCCCACTAAACCATGAATAAGACTATAAACTTTTAGTGTTGTAGTTTGACCACCATTCAGCTAGAGGGCACCACTGGTCATCTTAAAGACAGAGTTAATAAAGAAATTAAAGATGGCAGAGCTGTTCTTGACCGGAAAAGGGACGCGGTCCAGTCCGGTGTGGGGCGCTAACCGCACTTTAAGCTGATCTGTTTTGAAATAAACACTGAATTAATAGCGGTTATTCAGTATGACGGTATTAGCCATGTTATGAGCTAATACACTTCAAGGTGTTAAGTTTGAACTTTTTAAAAAAGTAACTTCTGCATGAACATATCTGTTTATGAGAAATGAAGTTCCACATAATTTATTCTTTTAATCTTTTATTTTTCCATTTAGCAAACTAAGGGATCGTTTTATATTTTATAGATCAGTCTAAGTTTAATACTGTAAGAAAACCACAGGTTTCAGTCTGTGTAATACAGTTTAGACAATTTATTTTGTTAATTCAGCAGTTACGAAAACTTTGTGTCATGAAAGACAGTTGACCCACTTGGTACAAGAGTTTTTAAGAAAATGGATGCTTATCCATAAATCAATAAGATCAATGAATTGTAGATTAACTCATTAATCGTTAACTAGCATCATCTCCTTACCATCAGAGGTGAAAACAGCCTGTGAGAGGCCACAGTTGTGTCCCAGGCAGCCCCAGTAATAAAGCACATTGGGGATCCAGTTACCCAAAGCGAAGACCGGTACGGGAGAGAAGTGCAGCCGGGTCAGAACCTCCTTCCTGTCGTTGGGCCAAAGAGTGTAGTTAAAGTAAAGACCCAGTACTCAGTTTGTCTCTTCATACAGCTGTTAGCTTTAGCAAGGAGTGTAACAAACCACAGAGCCTTGCAGGAATATTATTACCCATTTCACTTTTCACATTTAATCACAATAAAAACAATCTTCTTATTTATTTACAGGCACCAGGGAGTCAAATACAAATACACACCACACCTTACAGAGTTTCATTGGTGAAAAGCTTTTAAAAACATGCTTCACTTGCAAGTTTTGAATTCTGTACCAAATTTTTGTGTTAATTTTATAAAATCCCAATAAATTACATTGAAGTTTGCAATGTAAGCAAATATGGAAAGGTCAATGATGATGAATATTTCCCAAGGAATTATAGGCATAAACCACAAAAACAAACAACAACAAAATAGCACTGAAGTGCAACTATGAGTTCACTTCAGTTTAACTTCCTCATCCGAAAAATAAAAAACCCACACTTCCCTTTATGGCTGTTTTGGTCAGAGTTGGAACTTTGTTTACAAACAAATTTTTAGGTTTCCATTTCTTTGTATCTGTAGATAGTAAATTATTACATTTGTTTATATTGGTTTTTATAGTGCCATTGTGCTGACACAAGGCTCTGAAAAAAAAATCCAAAAATTAAACATTTTTCACTTTTGAAACTCAGCCAGCAGCTCAGGAGAATATTGATCTTTTCATAGGTTATCTGTCTCATGGTTTCACAATATGGCGACAGTTTTAACAAAATGTTAAAGATGCATTTATTTATTTATTTTCATAAAAGTTACATGTTCCGAACTGAACGCCACCTGCAGGGAGCCCCTCCCAGCTCACCTGTTGGCGGCGGCCCGGTGCAGCTGCTCCCGCATCCACAGGGCATCACTGACCGCTGAGTCGTCCAGCGACAGGAACAGCACCTGGGTCCGGTTCGGCAGCCCTTCAACCAGACTCTTCAGGGAGGAGTCGGAGCTCCAGAGGCACTCCAGGAACCCGGACTTGTTTGTGAAGGCGTGGATGACCAGAGACTCGTTCACGGCTCCATTATAGGAGAATTTCCCGTCCAAAGTCGTGACCTGAAACGCGGCGGCCCGGTCACCAGGCTCCGGACCGGCACCGGGCTGCGGACCGGAGGAGACCGGGTGGAAATGGGAAGCCTCGGTCAGGATCAGACGTTTCCTCTTCGCCCCCAGCTGAGCGTCAGTCACATGAGCTGTCACAACAAGCAGGAGCCAGAGCAGGAACGCCATTTTTCCTACCGCCACAAAGGACAATGAACTCACCACGAAGAGCTCAGCGCCTGCATCACTGGGAAACGTTCGCCTGAGTTAAAACGCGTCCTGCTGTCGCGTCCAACACAACAAAACTCACCGTTTGTCTTCATACATCCACTTTCGATTCGGAGGCGGGACGGGCCGCCTCCTACGGCAGCCCTGCGGCGCCAAAAAGCTGAGAAGCCAATTTTGTCTCCTCGGTTATTTTATTTAGTTTGCTTTGAATCCGCAAAACAATTTATTTGAAGGTAAACAACTCCAGTAAAGAGTAAAAAATATTAAATGTTTTGATTATTCTAGAGCGCAAGAGGCGCTTTGGACTAAAATCCAAAACTAATAATTGAAAAAACGTCATATAAAAAAATAGAAAATACAATTTTTTTAAACGACAGCTTAATTGCAGGTAGAAAAAGAGATGTAAATTTAGATCATTTCAGAGATTTTCTAGAAAATAAGGACATATCTGAACTTGGAAAGTCAAGAATTTGGTAAAAAAAAAAAAAAAGAAAGAAAGAAAACCCAGAAAATTTTAGATTAATCTCAGAAATGTTCTCAGAAATCACCTTTCTGAACTTGATGGGCAAAAAAAAAATGCAAGAAAGAAATTCTCAGATTTTTTATATATATATAAAAAAAGCTTGGAAATATCTGAGTTTCCTTAATCAAAACTTAATCACATCAACATCCCATATAAAAAAAAATCTACATTTTTTTTCATACATGTATAAAATAAGTTGTTACAAACAGCACTCTTAAATTTTATTTTTCTTATCATTTCTGAATAATTTTAGTACAGTTAATATATTCTGGATAGGAGCATTGTGAAAGAAAAAACTGAAATGCCTTCTGACTTTTGGAGATAATCTGAAATTATCAGTTCAGTTTTATTGTTCATGAGTGTCTCGGAAACTCAAAGAATCACACACAAATTAATATAATACTCAAAGAATTAATGTAACAAAGCCACATAACGCAAAAGAAAAAAAAAATCCCCATGTCCCCTAGGGGGCTCCGTAAAAACAGAAACAAATCATACAAATGGAAATTGAGAACGGAAAGGCAACAGTACAGGTGTAGATTTCAGAATGAAATCATTTTTTAAAAACTCACTTAAATATGACGCCTCAGACAGCCCTAGGATCACTGGGACACTCAAACCCCTCCACCACGATAAGGTGGCAGCCCACGGAGGGGAAAAAGCAAATACAGAAACAGTTCCATTCATGGAACTGTTTCCATGAATGGAACTGTTTCCATGAATGGAAACAGTTGACCTACGAGTAGGCGCTCCCGCGGTCTACTCGTAGGTCAAGTACAAGACGCCAAACTGGGCCTCGATAAACACCAACACGATTTCTATTGGATCCACAAAGGTTTCAGTCACAAGGCTGGGCGTCCACTCGGATTCCGCGTGTTTTTAATCCAGGCCAAAAAGTTCATGAGAATCAGACCAACAGCTTTGTGTTTCCGTGCGACAAAATGCTAGCCGCATCTTCTTTTTTTCCCCCCCAAATTCTCACATAGAAGCTGCGTCATCTTTATATCCAGCATGGCGCATGCGCGTCACGCTCAAAAATGGCGCCATTCGCCACTGTTGCTAAATTTGACATTTTCCAGTCCAAACACAAGATTAAACTAAACCTGTAAAACCTGCCCAACTGCAATGAAACAGCACAAATCTAAACTTCTATCAAATCAATCAAATTTTATTTGTATAGCACATTTCAGCAGCAAGGCATTTCAAAACCCACGCTAATAGCACTATGAGTTTTATTCAAAATATATCCCTAATATATATTTAGAATATTTTAGAGAATGTTATATTCATTTTTATAATGTAGGACTGATTTTCTTTAGGTTTTCAAAATAATAAAACTCAAAAAGCATGCAAATGTAAGCGCCACCATGGTCTATTTTTCTAAGAACAAACTAATACAGCTTTAAAAAAAATTGAGAAACAGCAAAAATGTACTTCTATTTAGAAATATATAACTATATATGTGTGCTGCAATGAAACAGCACAAATTTTAGCTTTTAACCCTAAATCTATATGAGGGATGAACTTGCTTAATAAATTGCTGCTCCAGTATGTCCTGACGCCTATGGAGTGTCAAACAATAAGTAACTCATGTAACAATTATTTAAGTGTTATTTATTATAACTTTACACTTTCTATCTGTCGGATCAATCTGTCGTTTGATCCGTCTTTAAATAAGTTTATTGCTTTATTTTAAACGTGTACAATAAAGATGTGTAAAATACACTTATTTTTGATTAAATTATGCAAATATAAGTCGAGATCTTAAATGTTCATTTATTTAATTTTAATGTAAATCATGAATAGTATTTTTCCATTTTATTATACACTGAAAACGTTCTTCCACTAAAAGGTTAAAACTCAAAAAGCACACAAATGTAAGCAACACCATGGTCTATTTTTGACTTTAAAAATTACAAACATTGATTGGCCTATGTTTAAATCTTTGTTTTTACCTCCATCAGAGCATACATTTCAAACTTTTTTAAGTCTGAAGGGCAAAAGGAGCTCCAAATATGAAGGCTATATGCAGTTGCCGCACTGAGCTTACAGCTGATAACCTACCTGGTAACTGATGACGTTTTCTCTGCAGAAGCGTCGTGAACAAGATGACGTTAGGGAAACGCAGGGGAGGAAATTAACAGTTTTTCATTTCGCTTTCGAAACTTATTTTTGTTGAACATAATTTCATTCAATTGTAAAATGCATTGCACACTACAGGTACAATGACGACATCTAACGGTGAGTCTGAAAACACACCGATAACGCGTCACATCCGGTCAAAATGACTTCATAATATCTCCGTAACAAAACCATCACACTTGTAAATACCATCACATGTTTATTAAGTGACATTGTACATTACAAATGAAAAATAAAATTAAAATTACAGATGGAGTACATAGCCAAAGCAAAATGTGGTGTTGACTCTTCATTTCCCACTGATCTGTTTCCACAGTGATGCCAATTTTTATTTTCAAAGTCCCATGGGACTTTTACACGACTTCAACAGAGGACTCTGCTGTCAGTCTGTGAGAATTTACTAAACATAGAAAAGTTATTACTTCAGCTGGCTTGGTGTATATATATATATATAAAAATAAACTAAAGTGAGATAGAACACTTATTATAAATGGTGGTCCAAGGCTAGAGGAAACAGCTAAACATGGAGGAAAAAGAACTTCTTACACTTCAGAATAAAATGAATTTTAGCCATTTTTAAAAAGTCTATAAAAAGGCCCAAGGTGCATGCTATGTTTTCTCTTGATTTTTATTTTTATTTTGTACCGGTGTCTTTATTCAAGAGACGCTTGTTTGCAGGTTTCAATTTTAAACAAAAATCTTCTTTTATTGTGTGAGATCTGATTAATTTTCCAAACACTGTTTCTTTCTTATAAACATGAAATGAAAGAAAAACTTGATTGTTCAACTGTCAAACATAACTCGTGAGAATTTGTTTCCGTCTTTGCTCTCCAAAAATCTGTACACAATGGTCATCTGAAGCCACCTTGTGGATGAAAACAAAAATAAAGAGCAGTAGCCAAGGTGGAGACAGTAGTTGAGTTATAACAACAACAGCAATAATAACATCAATAATAATAATAATAATTAAAAATAATAATGTGGGTTTGGCTTTACTGAAGGGGAGTTTTTTTTCCTGTTGTTAAGGTAAACACATTCCTTAATGATGATGAGTCCTGGGCAGTGAGAAGGGGTTCTGGCTGTATACGCAAACCGCCCTCTGACCTCTGGCTTGAATTTAAAAAAAGAAAAGAAAAGAAGAAAAAAAAAAAAAACTGGCTCGAGTGTGATCTCTAGTGGCTGGGAGCAGGAAGAGCACAGGAGAGAGTGAAAACAGGGAAGAGGAGAAGAGATGAAGGTGGGAGTAATGGGTGGAGTCAGAGCGCCACATTCAGGTGTTCTGACCGGCAACGTTGGCAAATCAAAAATAACTGGAACTGGGCTGGTCCCGCTGACTGTCTTTAGAAGATCTTTCCTTTCTTTTTGTTTTTCTCCAGAGTCCTGCAACACAAAAACAAAACGATCAGATTAATCACAATTAACCAATTGTTCAAATAATCGTCAACTAATTTAGTAATAGATTAATCTTTATCATTCTTAGATGAGAAAATTTGCCAAAAGTGTAAAAAAAACAATATATATATATATATATATATATATATATATATATATATATATATATATATATATATATATCCATTTTTCATTGCATTTAAAATAATAATAATAAAAAAATTTTTTGTCTCCAAATATGTTCAACCCAATGCTCCTCAAGTGGAGATTTTTTTTCTTGCTTTGTTTTCCAAAAACAAAATTAGAAACGGAGTATCAGGGCTAGGCCACAAGAACTTTTGTTTTGTTTGAAAGCCATAACAAATTGGGGCTCATCAAAAACAAAAAATTTCTACAATTGTATGGAAATTTGCTGGTTCGTCAGAATATTAGCAAAAAAGAAGTAATTTTACCAGAAGAACATCTTAAAATTAAGAGAAAAAAGTAATTTCAATGAGAAGAAAAGCTTCGAACTGACATGACCAGCTGAGTTTGTGTAGTTCGTTCTTCGAAGTGGACTCGGTTGTTTAAAGAGTCATTCCAAAGTCCTGCAGCTGATAATGATTTCATGTGGCAAAATAAGAAATATTACCTTCTCTGCAAAACTGATACCAAAGTATGACTTCACAATATGCTCAAATTAAAATAACCATTTTAATATTTGGTTATTTTCTGTGTTGGCGTTGTCATTACAAAGTAATCCTCCAATATTATGAAAGTATTTGGTAACACTATTTCACGAGGTGTGCGTAATTCTCACATGACATTGTTATGAACATGAAGGAGTCTTTATGAATGTCTCACTGTTGTCATAAAGTGTCATTCAGTAAATAATGATAATTTTAGTGCAATATTTGCACTTTTCATGGACTTCCAATAAAATGTTTAGAGCAATATTGCTATTCTAATTTAGATACTAAAACAAGATATAAAGTCCAGAAAGACACATTTTTTTTTCATTCTTAATTTTCCCGCAGTTGTGAGAAAACAAATCATGAACTCAAACCCCAGACTAGTATAGTAGGATCTGTACCTGGAGGCCTCCATCTTCTGCTGCTCCAGCCGCTGTTGGAGCTCCCAGTTTGACCTCTCATCCTCGAAGACGCGTCTCTTCTCCTCCAGCTCCTTATGTTGAGCCTCCAGGTTCTTCTTCATCTGCTCGTGACGCCGCTGAAGCTGCAACGGTAACACATGAAAGCACACTTAACTTTGCTCCTAAGAGGGTTTAACAATTAAAGTTTCAGCTGGTTAGGGTGTTTCTACAAGCAAGAAAAAGTTTTTTAAGTTTGCTTGACTTTAACCAGAGATGTTGCACTTATAAAAAAAGCAGTTCAGTTCATGCCACTGCAAATGTTTCAAAAGAGGCAACAGAGTTTGTACACTTTTCACACAGTAACTTTAAGCTTTTTCAAACTTTTCCAGAAACCACTTTGGAGATAAAAACAATACAAATGAATTCACTATAATTATATATCAGTTTCCACAGTTATTCATCAGCAACAAGGCAAGGTAAAATATAACTGAAACGTCTGTCACACACAGACCTTTTAGTCCTGACTGGTCAAAGAACAAAACACTAATTTAACAAAAAATCTCGCAATTTTATTAACTTTATTTAATGTATAAAACACGAGACAATCATCAATAAGTAATAGAGCCACTAAAATAACATTCATTATGTTGAAGCAATTGAAACGAATTGTGGTAAGGAAAATTACCTTTCTTCTCAAACTAAATGTTCAATCACAATAAAATCCATCACAAAAAAACCCTCAAATATATTCTCGTATTTAGCAAATACAAATAACTTTGTTGATTCCAACTTATCTAGAAAAAAAAGGGACAATTTAGTCTTATGTAATGTAAGATATTGAGAAAAAAAAATGTGTTCAGTGTGTAACCTAGGGCTGAACAATAAATCAATAACAGTACATATCACAATAGACACGTGATCAAGATCGACAGATAACACAATCTGAGAGTATTCAATACAGAGAATATTAATTGAACTCTGATCCAGAAGCATTCTGGGAGATGTAGGCAGAAGTTGGAATCAACTTACTCACTCACTCTTTGGTTGCTTAGCAACTTCCTCATTCTTTGGTTGCCTAGCAACAACCTGCTAAGTAACTGGAGCAGCAGCAGTTTCAGGTTTGACCGCTGTGCCTCAAAACTACTCTAAAATAAAAACCTGTGACTGAGCAGGAAAGGTCACGCCACCAGTTTGGCTGCAATTCAGACATTTAAAACAAAAAACTGTAATTATCAAAATTAACAATTACTGACGACGGCTGATGTGAAACGCTTATCATGTGATATGTTTGTCAGCCATATTATCCAGTCCTGATGTAAATATCTGGCTCCAACTGTAAGTGACACTTTCCAAATTCAGGTTTTTAGTTAAATGTTAGATTGAATTTTACTACAAAACTGTGCAGTTTGAATTTCAATAGGAAAATCAAGCACTTTCCAAACCTTGAAAATGCCTAACTGAAATCCAAGCAGTGTGTGTGTGTGTTACCTCTGCCTCAGAGTCTTTCAGCTTCTGCACCTTCTCCTTGACTTTCATCTCGAACACCTGTTCCATCTCCATCTCCATCTTCTTCATCTTGGCCACATGCTCTCGCCTCTCCTCCTCCATCTGGGCCAGGGGACTCCTGCGGAGCGGCCGCACACAAAACGGGCACAAAACGTCAAACAAGCACTTCAGACATTCAAATCAGAAACAACTAATGTCCAGTAAAGTCATGAACTAACAAAGACTTCCTGTCGGGTTTTTAAAGAAACCCCCGGGATTTCCTGCTGCAATTTTTAGTCTGATTTTATAATTACTAAAATTTTGGCTAATTTTAAAGTGAAAAACAGCTTAAAATGGTTCTTTTTGTGTTCATAATAGGATTGATCAATTTCACTGCAAAAACAAAATCTTACAAAGTGTTTTTGGCCTAGTTTTTAATTTAAATATTCATACTACACTTGAAATAAAATAAAACTGGCTTACCAGAAACTTTCCAGCAATTTATTGAAGCTTGTTTTAAGTCAGCAATTTTCAGAATATTGATAAAAAGTTCAAGTTCCACTGGCAGATTATTTTATTCATAAGACATTTTTTCCATGTTGATTATAAGTGTAATCAATAATTAAATAAATATATAACACCAACATCTGCATAAATTTTGGAGCTAGGTTTAAGGTTTTGTGAACTGTGTCAATCTTCAACATGGATGCTAAAATCTCACATGGAACTTGTTCTATAAAAGTTATTGCATCCAAATCGACACAATTTCTTTGATAAAGCACAGAAACCTAAAATTCAACCTTTTGAAAACATCATCTTGCTTCTCCACAGACACCCAACACGTGAGGAAGAGGAGGAAGCTACAGGAAAAGCTTCAGATTGAATCCAACAAGACAGGAACTGGAAAAGCACCACGAGGTATATTGGAGGAAAACAGTGGGGCAAAGTTAACACCCGTGTTAATAGCAGTAGTTTATTATTAAATGTTAGTAAAAGCTAGGACTGGACGAATTGGGTTAAAAATAAAATCTCATATTTAAAATTTATTTTTTTTATTCTCAGTCTCTTTTCTATAAAAAGGAAATGACAAATGTCAGGAAACATTTCTCAAAAAAAATCATCCATTCTTTGAGTTGTACGATTTGTGTTCAACTACGAGAATATAGCCATAATATTAGTACAATAATATCAGCAGAATATTACCAGAGCGCCTTAAAATGAAGAGAAAAAACTTCTACTTATCTAAACACTACAGTTTGTTTTTTTCCCCAAAAATACTTGTTTCAGAGTCCTGTTATTAATAATTTAATGTTGATTTGTCTAAAGATTAAGTATTTTCTTACACCAAAGTGTAGCTTCACTAGACGCTCAACACATTTTTGTGTAGGACTTTAATTTAAAAAAACTTATGACCTAAGCGTTTCATATTAGTCGATAGCTAGTTATTGATCAGTCTTTTGTTTTAAATATTTGAAATACTACCAAACTTTTGCCGTGACCTCCTTTTTGACTCAGTTTTCACTTCACGTTGTTTTTGTATTTTAAGCAGCTGAGGCACGGTGAAGGTCGTTGCTCGGTAACCAATTACAGCAAGTTGTTGCTAGGTAACCACAAATTTTTCTCAGCTAGCAAGGAGGCTGAGCAGCTACATCTGCATACATCTCCCAGAATGCTCTGCGGTCCAGTGAATATTTTATATATTGATATTAATTATGTGTCTATCGCGATATATACTGCTATTGATTTATTGTCTAGCCCTACTACGAACAATGGAAACCAAATGAGTAAAAAATAAATAAATTTTAAAAAAATCAACATTTCCCAAAAATTTTATTGTCTAAAACCAAAAATTTGATCTAATTGATATAATTGATTCATCGTCCAGTCCTAGTTGAAGCCAACCCAAAATTGGGTGAATTGCTGCTTCGACATGCCAAGAAATGCTGTGAAATGTGAGGAGCGGTTGCCTGGAAAAGGAGAGCAAAAAACTTTACAGTAAATACAAGTAGACTGTAGAGTTACTATAAAAACCCTGATAATCTTTTAAAGTAGTTTTCAGTTGTTTTTCGTCTCATTTACAGAGGTAACCACTCCAGACATTTTGTGGGTCGACCTCGATTGTCGACAAACAGAGCTCACAGTCAGCAGAGTCTGCATTGCAAGTGGAAAGAGTTTGTGCGTTGGAGAAACTAATTAAAGCTGTCTGGAGAACACAGATTTTTAGGAAACAAAACAAACCAGTTTTCTTCCCACAAAAACATGAAAGTAAAACATCTGACAGGAACAAGCGAAGAGGAGAAAATCCCGGAAGGAGCAGAGAGGAAGGGTGGCGACCACTCAAACAAATGAGGTGAAAAAAATGTTCACTTACATTCCTTCAACTGTGTCCATACTAAAAAAAAAACAAAAAACACACACAAACACACACACAGCATGCAGTGATGAGGTCATGCGCTTGAAACAAAAACACTAAGTCATTAAATGCAATGTGTGACATGGAGCTAAATTCTCACTGCAAATGGAAAACAGAAAAAGTGTCACATTAACAGTAGTGCTCACATATTTAGCTGTGTGTTAGAATCAGCAGTGTGTTACCTAGAGTCAGTTAGCTTAGACGGTTAGCTGTTCAGTTGTGTTTTTCACTATTGCAAAACTTATTATGTGCAAAAAGCATGAGTAAGCAGCAACAAAAAACGTCTCAAACCTCAAATATCGGCACCACGTTTCACCTGGAAACTTGCTCAGGGCCAGAACGTGAATACAAGCTTCTGATTTAGGTGAAACCAGCTGGGTAATGCGGTGAAACTGGGACTTACTTGGTGGACAGTTGTCCTTTTGCTTTGTTGTTGTCCACTCCGTTGTAGGTGACAGCGGCCAGTTTCCTGCTGCGGTAGTTTTCATAGTGGACGTTGTTGGTCACGTCCTTCAGGTCCTGCATGTGAGTCCTGGCAACAGAATGTTAATACGATTTACCATATTTTCTAGACTATAAGGCGCACTTAAAAACCTTTAGTTTTATCCCCAAAAAATGACAGTGTCCTTTATGTATTGTTCTGGAGTAAAACAGCACCCTCTAATGAATTAATTCTGACTTACTGACCTCCAAGCGACTTTGTGTGGTACATGTCAAAATGTTTTAGTTAGATTACGGCTACCACAGTCAGCAGAGTAAAACATACTGTGTTTTGACTGACTGTTTTGTTTTGTTTAAGGCGCCTTATAGTCCGGTGCTCTTTATATGTGAAAAAGATTCAAACTAGACCATTAATTGAAAGTGCGCTTTATATCCAGTGCGGTAATAATATATTTGGAAGTCATTATTTGAAATAACACACATAAATAAAAGCAAAATTCAGGGTTTCTTTTCACGTATCTTAGACTCAACCTTGATTTTTTTAGTCCATGTTTGTAAAATCTTTTCCGACAATAAAATTCAAGCATTACAAGGAGAGTTTCCAAACTATTTCAGTACCACACTTTAGAGATAAAACAATACCAATGAACTAAAAAAGACAGTTTTAAATTATGTTACTAATATTTTTTGGCAGTATTTTAGTCAACCGCAGGGACAAGGTAAACTACAATATAATTAAAGTTATGTTTTAAAACCTATGTATCAGGTCTGAAAACAAAACACTAATTTAACAAAAATTTTAAAAAATGTCAGCATTTTTAACAACTAGCCTAGAAAAAACAAATGTATTATATTTTACAAGTAACAAAAAAATTCCTAAAAAATTGCAAAGTTTTCTGTCATTTAGCAAATCTAAATAATTTTGATAATTGTAACTGACCTAAAACAAGAAAAGTTTGGTCTGATTTAACTTCAGTCAGAAAGAAAAACTGTATTTCTTCATATTAGAGAAATAATTACATTTTTAAAATTATGGTTTGAACTATTAGTAACGTTTTCCATATTTTCAACATTGGACGACAATTTATTATGCAGTTTGAATTTCAAGCACTTTCAAGGACTTTGTGCTGAAATCAAGGACTCTCCATACCTTGAAAACACCAAACTGTAATTCAAGCAATAGTAGTACTAGTGAATGATTTCTTCATCATAAAATTTCTACAGAACATTTCCCTCAATATGTATGCAAACAAACATCTCTTTGACACATTAAACAATCTAAATAACCTTAACAAAACGGTCTTCCTATAGCTTCAGTACCTGATGAGCATGTCCCTGAGGATGGTGAAGTCACAATGGTCGCTGTTTTCAACTAACAGGAAACAATAAAACGTGTCATTTAACTATGAGGGTTAAAAAAAAAACAACAATTATAGATACCAAATATCTTGTATGATAAAAGTTAGCTTTGATCACATTTTTAAGGTTTAGCTAAACAGTCTCACCTTCTGCAACCCCCCAGGGGTATTGCCTTCCCCTCACCCTCTTGCCATTCACCTCGATGATGGTGTTGCTTCCCACCACAGCCAGCGGCAGCTTGTCCTGGATGAAGAAGGCGATTAGTCAAATAAAGCTATTAAAAACACAGGAATGCAAGTTTGCATCACTGCTACACAAGCATGAAGATTTTGCAGACAACATACTTTAATTTTCTTCACCAGCCTGTTCTCCTCTTCGTCATCCGTCTCAGGAAACTCGTAAATCTTGATTTTGTGCTCTTGGATTTCTCTCATGATCTAGACGTAAAATGTACCATGTTAAAGGCAAGACACCTTTGAAGCAGTACTTATACTTTAATAGATTTTTTGACACATTTTTTCAAGTTTGAGGAAGTTAAGTTTGACCCATTTGTAAAGTTTCAATGTATTTGTTAATGCATTTACTGTTATGTATTTATAGGTTTTATTTATATACATCCAAGCTCCTTTTTTGATCTCTTTTCCCTCAAACTTGGGTTTTAAAAGTCTCTAATTGGTGATGAATAATCCAGTTTAATTATTTATCGTGATAATTGTTTGGTAATGTCAAGTTGGAGGCTTCAAACATGTAGTGGATCTGAAGAGAGACAGATTAAAATATTCTTTAATGAAACAATAAAATAGGGAAAGAAACTTTGAAAACTGGCAGCCTTACGTAAATTCTTTGAAAAAAGCTCAGATATGTTAAAAAAAAAATTAATTGAATGTATTTATATTTTCAAAGCATTGCTGTCAAATATAACATTTTAACTACAGTGGAAGCTAAAAAACATTTGCAAAAAAATTAAAGGGTTATTAAATAAAGTTTAGCTCCAACTGATTAAACCTTCTTTTAGTGTTGTAGTGTGGCCACTTATCAGTTAGTTGTTAGTCGATCGATACGATCAATCAACTTAAGTTGATTAATCAGTAACATGCAGCATTTTTATTTGGATATTTAGATGGGATTGTATTTTAGCTCCACTGCAATCTGAACCCAAACTTATCAAGTTTCTTTAAGTTTGGTGGTTTTCACAGAAAGGAAAACCACCAACGTAACCAGATATCAATGTGAAGATAAACAGCTGCTTCACTAAACTGATGCATCATCTATTTGATGTCGCTTTGTCATGAAAAACATTGGGTCTGTACCAAAGAGCGTTATTTAGAGGGGGGTTTTCCTTCTGCCTGCAGCTGTGGAAACCACTGACCTGCTTCTTGAACTGTTGGCATTCCTCTGGGGTGAGAGTGTCTGCTTTGGCGATCAGGGGGATGACATTGACTTTTTCATGCAACCGTTTCATGAACTCGATGTCCAAGGGCTTCAGTCTGCAGAAACATGAAGTTACAACCATTTTATCTGATCAACTGTGCCAAATCATCAGCTTTGTGCAGCCAACACTGCAAAAACACAAAATGTTACCAAGTAATTTTGGTTTAGCTTCCTATGCAAATATCTTAGAGCACTTTAAATAATACTAAACTAACTGAGTGTCAGTTTAAATAACATTTCAGCATGATATAGGATCTTGTTTTATGCCAATAATTTTTTAATATTTATGAAGACCTACCAGTTTCATTGGTAGATAAATATAAGGCATTTTCCTCAACCTCTGAGTGAAGTAATCTACCAATTGAACAAGTACTTTTTCATTAATATTTAGGACTCAAAACAAGATCCCTTATTTTGCTGAAATTACTTATGAGTTAGTTTTTTCTTATTTCAAGCGTGGTAAGATATTTGCCCTGGAAACAGGCCAAAAACACTTGGTAATACTTTGTGTTTTTGCAGCATAGATCATAAAACTAATCAATCTTCTCTCGTCTCATGAAGGACGTCTTTTGGGTTTATGAAGGAAGACAGTTTCCTGGAAACTCCACTTAGAACAAAGATAAAACGACTTAAACCCAATAAAGGAATCTGCCTGATGTTTGCTATGTCTATAAAACGACCTTACAGTCATGAGAGAGAACTGCTGTTCTCAGCCGGAAAAATAACATTTGACAAGGCCATGTTATTGAGTTACAGCTTTGAGTTTCTCTTACTTATTTCTAAAATTGTATTTTCTTTTAATCTGTATCTGGTTGCAGTAGAAATGTCTCTGAGTTAAAATCTAATCAACAGATGGAGTCAAAGATGGTGAAATGTCCAGCATTCAACTATAAATCTGGATAAAATAGATTTACTGTCAAAAAGCTTCTGGTAGCAGGCAACAAAACAAATACCTAGTATTTGTGAACATTCATGTGCTGTATCACAATGAATATACTGCACGCTATAATGCACTGAAAAAGAGAAATTGTAACAGCTAGCTCATCTACATTGTCACTGCCTTGTTACAATTTTCCATTACATAAAATGTTTTTGAACACGTTATGAAGACTTAAGTAAATCCACTATGTAAAATGTTTTTGTTTCTTTTTATTCATGTAAAGCACTTTGAGCTGTCTTGTTGATGATAAGGTGCTGTATAAATAAAAACTTCTAAAATCACAAGAATCAAGCTACAATTGGATGAAAAATTTATCATTTTGATAACTGACTGATAATTAAATTACTAATTTAACCAAATTTCAAAATAAACTTAGTAATCGATAAATCATTAACTGGAGTATACAAACTCAAACAGGCCATTTGCTGAAAGTTCAACACAGTCATAAACCATGGAAATGGAAAATATTTTGTTTGTTTTAATTTATAATGCCATTAACTCATTTATTGCTTATGTATAAAAATACATTTTATTCAGTTAATCCAAAAACTAATCAACAGATCAGAGTTGCATTGCATTGAAGTTAAGCAGAATCTTTAGAAGTATTTTCTTTTAGCTGCTAAAAATGATCAGGTGTTCACTAAAGGAATGCTGTGTTGCTGCATTTCAGGAGCTAAAATGCGTAATTTCTTATCTAAAGGCAATAGAGGCGTTGTTTTGCAGCGGGTCGGTCAGTGTGTTGCTGTGAGAACAGCCAGCTGCTGCGAGAAGGGGATGCTCCCTGACAGCATATGGTGCCCATCCTCCAGTAATAAAGTAATGCTTGTGTGGGTACAGAGCGCAGCCTGTACAAACAAAATGTCTCTGAGAGGAGAGACAGACTGAGAGGACCGAGACGACACAAGGACAGAAACAGAGTAGCGTCTTTTCACTCGTCAGTAAGGAAGACACAGTCGTCATACGAGAAGGCAGCAGATTTTACATTTGAAACATCAGTAAACAGTATTTTTAAAAAGCTGTCATTATGCACTGACATTTTATTAGAGCCAGAACGTAAGCACTTATTTGATAATAAGAATAAATTAAATCAAGATAAAGATGCTCTAGTAGCTTGTGAAGCATCTTAATTAAAATTCCTGTTGTTTCTTTATGAAGGTTATTTGTATCATCTGTTTGGTGCACAACCAAACCTTCGAACTCCCATTACGTCTCTACGACATCTCAGTTTTTCACCTCTGTTTAATAAGACAGACTGAGAACCTGACAATGTAATTATGGTTCAGTCCAAGAGGAGTTGGACCAGTAACAATGTAGATTTTTGGTGAAAATATTAAAAGTTAAAGTGGGGAAGTAGCTAGCCCTATGTTAGTCAAACAAACACATACTTGCTCTTATGAGCTTTGGGAAACAGCTGACCAACTTCCATTGCTCCATTTCTTTACTCATTTTCTATACAATTCTCACTCCCTTCCTGACCGACATGTTTCTGCTGCCACACTGCAAAAACACAAATCTGATCAAGTATTTTTGTCTAGTTTCTACAGAAAATATATTATTACACTTGAAATAAGACAAATCAACTTAAAAGTAACTTTTTAGCAAAATATAGGTTTTTTTTTAAGTAAATAATTCCTTAATATTGCTGAAAATTTTGATTTTTAATGGCAGATAAATTAATTTATAACATGGGAAAAATGCCTTGTAAGTTAAATAATCTGCCATTGAAATAGTTACTTTTTCATCAATATTAAGGAATTAAAAGAAGCCCCCATACCTGACTAAAATGTTACTTGTAGGCTAATTTTGTCTTATTTCAAGTTTGCAAAGATATTTGTAACAAAAATTACATCAAAAATACTTGGTGAGATTCTAAGTTTTTGCAGTAGTTAAATTATCTACTTCTTTTCATTTTCTTGACTAAAAAAAAAAAAAAAAGAAATCTGACGCATTAGCATTTTAAAGGTGACCTAGTACTCTTTCCTGAGCAGGTTAGGACTGGCCTAGAGGCTGTACAAAACAGGTTTGTCGCATTTTTGCAGAGAATAATTCTTTCACAATGAGTTCTCAGTCTGATCAGTTCTACGTATTTTGAGTTCCTTTAGGCTGCAGCTGGCCACGCCCCCAATGCAGCATTTACACTCTCATGTGAAAATGTCTGCAAACAGATGAGCAAGAACCTTAACAGCTGACCAAATGTGCTGGAGATCAACTTGTGTTGTTGAGTAATGGGCAGATCTCCACTGCAGTTGCAAGGTAACAGGCTGGGCTTGGCTGGGGTTGCTAGGTAACGCCTCATTTTCCACACAGCAAAACTAATTTATTGCCAAAAAACAGCTGGATGTTTTTTTCAAGTGTGTGGGAGAAGCAGTTGAGACCCAAATGGAAGAACAAAAGCGTGCAAAATGTACATTTTCACTCGCAAGAGAAAAATGGCTGCACACAGATGCACAATTATAGAGCCTTACATCTTTGAAAAGCGTAAGTAGGTCCTCCTGCACAACCAATAGGAAAACGGCAAGTGGTTTCTGGACGGCAAGTCAACAATGACACTTGTCCTCTTTCAGCAGCCATTGTACAGCGCATACATAAAACCAGCTGCCCAAATGTCATGGAGCTGAACTTGGTAACAGTGCTTGTCGAATGTGCCTGAACAAGCGGGAGGTTTATGCAACAACTCATTTTCCAAAAAAATGCCCAAAAACCTCCTCAGACCCAAATGGAAGCACAAAAACATGCAAAATGTGAAATTTGCTAAACATGTCCCACTAATTAATTTTGGAGTATAATTCTCCTGAATAATTAATAACGAGTCTTCTGAAAGAAGACTTTACTGTGTACCTTTGTATTTAATTTGTATTTTTTGTTGTGTACCTTTGTATTTAATTTGTATTTTTTTGTATTCTTTTGTATTTTGCGCACTGTGTGCCACTTTTTTGCCTGTAAGCTGCTGGTAACTTTAATTTCCTGAGGGAGTCTTCCCAAGGGATCAATAAAGTACAAGTCTAAGTCTAAGTCTATCCTCCTCTAAACTCACCCGTGTCCAGAGGGAGCGATGAAATAAAGGCAGCAGTGGATCCGGCTGTCAGGCATCTGCCGTCTGTTCACCCGTGATTCTGAGTTCAGGTAGTCTTCAAACTTGCTGTCTATGTGGTCGATGATTGGCTGCCAGCTGAAGATGAGAAGTTGTGCGTCACGTTGCTGAAGCGTGACAAATCATGTGTGAGCAGAAAAGGCAGACGAGGCGATCCTCACCAGTTGCTGTTGTCGACGGCATCCCCGAACCCTGGGGTGTCAACTATTGTAAGCAGCAGCTGGACGCCTCCTTCCTTTATTAAGACTTTAGATTGCTCCACCTGCCGCAGGACGACACAACAGATTCTGATGTAAACCGGGCTTCTGCTTCTGCTTATATGATAGATGAATGCAAAATTCCAGCTAACTGTGATGTGGAAGTAATCCATTTATTTTGCTTTAGTCATAATATCAGCAGAATAAAGACAAAAATATCAAAAGAAAGTTGTAGAAATACTAGGAAAAGTTGTTTTAATGAGAGCAAATCTTCAATCAATCAGGATCTGACATCACCAGTTTGACTGTTTCAGATTATGGGAAAATGGGTTGAGAACTGTGCAAAGCATTATTAAAATCTGGAAGGATCTTGGGGAACAATCAAGTTTGAGGAAGAAATGTAGTAAAAAATAATGGCAGTGAACTCAATAAATTGGGTCTGAACTTCTGCAGCCATAAGAAAACCACTAATCAGTGATTCTAACTGCAGAAAGAGGCTACACTTAGCAGCCTCTTCCAGATTAATATGCATCATTATTATACAAATGTAATTCAATCATAGTATACAGCTGTTTTGTTGTTATTATTGGTAAAATTGCTTGTGAACTACCTTCAAATCCAATGTATTAAATCTCTACATTAGCTGTAAAACTAATCTGTTTCATCAAAATCAGCTTGCTAAATAAGTTCTCTGCTGAAGCTGAGACATTACACCAGATTATCTATCCAAAACAATCGAACTGCGCAATCAGAATCATTATAGACTGAATATTACGCCCAGTGGAAAATATTTAGTGGCAAGCAGCACGCAGCAACCTGCCTTCTCATTTAGTGCCAGTTCTTAGCTGCCTTGAGGAATCAGGAAAGCACATAAGCAGCCAGATAGAGCAATAGTTTCAGATATGAGTCAGACAGAGGGAACGCCACAGGCGGCAGGCCTCAAAAATCCAAGACCGCATTTAACAAACGGCCTCAAAAAGACTCACTGCAGGATCTGCGGAGTCTAATTCCACCCATTTGAACAGGGAATCCTAACAGGAAGCTTTTCGAAAAACACTCAGTAAATATCTGTTTTGTGCAAATGAAATAATTAAATCTGCTCTAATTTATCATGAGATTAATTGATGTATTGCTTTTGCAACAGGCCTACATAAAGCAATGTGCTTGTACACTGGAGAGCTGAATATGACAGAATATCTAATGGCTCTTCATCTCAGAATATTTATAATCACAATGGTTTTGAACTGCAACTCTAACTATTATCACATTTCTATTTAAAAAAAAGAAAAGAGCAGAGTCTGAAAACTCAAAGTGGTAAAAAAACGGTAATAAACTTGTCTACTTTATAACAACTTTCATTATGTTTATCTTTTACAAATTCCACAGTTGGAAAGATGCAACCAAAATTCAGACAATGTTTGGTTTACAGAACCGGAGCGCTTCGCTCAGCAATACGGATGTTTTATTTCTGTCTCAGGGGAGATGGCTTTGAGTCTTTCTGACTCAAAGGAAAAAGAAGAAATTAACTGAGAGAACAGAAGTGATTTCTAACCAGGATGTTACACTGTTTTTGTTCCTAAGAGATAAATTATTAAAATAAGGGAAGCAATAAATCTTCCCCAGACAGTGTTTCTCTTTAGACTTTTTAGACAAATGACCCAATTTTTCTTGTTCTGCTTGTAAGCTGACTCGTGGTTTTCTTTGTCTGCTGCATGTTTGGGAATTATGGATGATAAATTTTGTTATTTTTGCTACTATTAGAAAAATAAAACTACTCATCCACTGTTAGTTGCGAAAGATAATCGATAAATGCTACATATAACAAAATATACAACACATAAAGCTGCCATTATTGACCCAAAAGCTAGTTTGGTTAGAAACGTTTATATTTAGGGGAGGGTATTAATCAAGTCATTGATCAAACGATACAAAAGGCTTCTTTGCATAATAAGAATTTGATTTATTGTTGTGACGATACATTTCATGTATTGATGGTAAATGAAAAAAAAAACCCCAATAAGATTGGAAATGTTATTTTTAACATTTTCTCCACTGTTTATTGCTTGAGAGCATCACTATTAATAAATCAATATTTTTTTCTGCATATTATGAGTAGAAAAAAAATATCAACTTATTAAGTCTTTGACCTTTTAATCACAAATCAAAGCCAATAAAGGAAAAATGGGCTGATGCTGATATCTGAGCAGTTACATGTTGCCAATGTACTCAATATTATGGGTTAGAAAGTAGCAGAAGAGGCATGTTTAACTAATTTTAAACACACAGAGAAAAATACCTGTACAGTCTTCTTGATTCTGTGTGAAGGTCCAGGATACTCTGCTGAATACAGGTCTGTTAGGAACAGCGAGTTGATCAAAGTCGACTTCCCCAGGCCAGATTCGCCTGCAAACAAAAATACAAAACTTTAAAAGTTGCATTAAAACTTCCATAAAATGTGTCAACTTTGCATAATTTGCTAAATAATGGAGCTTTCAAAACAACATTGCATGAAAGTTTGCATTAAAAACCTATTAAAAGTGTCACCATTTCTTATTATTTGGTAAATAATAAATTAAAACAACGTAGCATTAAAACTCACATTAAATGTGCATTAAAAATGCCATTATTTACCAAATGACGCTTCATAACAACAGTCCAGCATCCATGAAGACTCCTTCATGTTTGTGACAGGTGTTGTGTCACATGCACACCCCTTCAAGAAACATTTTACTCTAAAATGTTATTTGAACTTCACTGCTGTCTTTCCTCAAGCAATCGCGGTCATGTGGTTTTCTAGGAACAACTTTAGCCAGAGATCTCAATCTATTTGGGTTAAACAGTTAAAGGGAAAGGAAAACAACGCAGACAATGGCTCTTGTTATGCGTCACCGACTGGCTGTGTGGTCCCGGTGTTTTCTCAACTCGGCTGACCATTATGTGCCCCGTTTCCAAGCTCCCAGTGAAAAGGATCATTAGTGGAAATGACCACTGGCGCAGCCTGGTGTGGCTGATGGCCAGAAGTCAATATTTAACCAAGCTACAGTTAACGGGTAACATGCTCGGCTTCATCTGTAGCGTTTGTCCAGGCTTCCAACTGTGTGGATTGGGTACATCGGCCTGGTAAATGCATTAGGAAGTGGCGATAGATCTCTGAAAAGAGCAGCTTGGTAATGTGTGAACATGTTGCTGGTCACGTGGTTTAAGAGCTATGGATAGATGTGCCAGTCACTGATGGCGATGCAGCACCAATCTCTCTTCTTCTTTCGCACCACACAAGTGACACATCGCATGTGGGAACTGCAGGGACATGTGGGCCTGCGGCAAATCAGAGCCAGGAACAGCAGAATACTGCATGCGTGTGTCTGTGTGTGCGAAAACAATGGCATGCATTTAAGAATCAGAAAGCCCAGAGAACCCCCTCTACTGTCCTTGTTGCCATGACATTTATAATCTCAGGGATTACTCTCAAAACAAAGATTTAATCAAAAACAGAGTACAGGTAGACCAGCACCAATCTGGCTTTTTAATTGTGATGAAACTGAAATAACCATCAACTAATTTAGCAATCGATTAATTGTTAAATAGGGTAATTAAGCCAAAACGCTGCAAAAACCTATACATTTGAGACAAAAAAAAAAAAAAGCCTTTGTCCATAAATCTCTTTAACCCAGAACTCTCTAAGTGGAAGTTTTTGCTTCACCTGGTCAAATTTTACTTTAAAAAATCTCCTTTAAGAACCTTTTACATCCGATTGTTGATGGGTTAATCCAAAAATAATCTCCAGATCAGCTCTATGCTGTATTGATGTTAAGTCAAAGCAGAAAGCGCTGAGCTTTTCACGTGTTGAAGTCAGGCTTTTTTAGCTGCAGATTCATCCTTCGGTACAAATGATCAAGCGTTTACTCAAGGAATGCTGTGTTGTTGCATTTTAGGCCATAAAATGTTTATTTTCTTCTTTAAAAAGGAATGGATTTGTGTATTTTTACGTATTTTTGGTTATTTTATGAAAAAAACTTAATTGGCTACATAAATAAATCTGCAGAATGTGGCAATTTGTTTAATCATCAGAATAATTGTTAGAATAATTCATTAATAATCATTAGTTGCAGCCTTGTTAAAATGCATTAATGCTAAAAAATGGTGGTAGTTCTTTATTTGATTAATTAAATTCAGCATATGACCTCCTGATCAGCAATCAATAATTTGACCAATGCCACCGTCTAACTAACCATACTGATTAAATCATCTCTAAAAGAAAGTAAAATGCAAGTGAACTGCTAAAAGAAATAAAAGACTCAAACTGTTGTGAACTAAATCCAGCGTTCTTCAGCAGTCTGTTGAGCACAAACTATGTTGGTCCCACCACAGGAAATGGTTGTGACCCTGGGACACGTTTTCCCTCCAAATACGGCTGAGGAACATCTTGGCCCAGAGACAACAGCCACATCCAGGCATTGAAGGGAAAAAAAGGAAAAGAAGTGTCCGTTTCTGACATGCAGAAATGAATAAACCCAAACCAAATGTTTTTCTTTTGCAAGATGGTCTAAAAGGAACCTGACACAATTGAAATGGGGTAGAAATCCAATCTCCAAAAACGTCCGAGTCTGCATTTGAAAGTACTTATGTTCTCTGCACATAAATATGGCCTCACAGACATGCCCAGCTGTATCATTCTCTGGAAGACAAACCACACTGAAGGACTTTAAATGCCTTCAATGAGGAACACAATGAGATGATTCAATGAAAAACAGGAGCAGGCCAAGGAAAGTGTTCTTACCCACAACCATCAGGGTGAACTCAAAGCCCCTCTTCACAGACTTCCTGTACACTTGATTGGGGAGGCTTGCAAAGCCAACATATCCATCCAGGTTCTTTTGTTGCTGTGAAACAGGGTTATTATTAGTCCTGGATGACCGGGGATCAATATTTCGAATGTAATTTGCTCCTCCTAATAGGTTATAGGCCTATTATTAGGCCTGTAACAGTAACCAATTTTTGCTGGACAATAAATAGTCCCAGAAATTATTGCGATAAATTATAATGTTGTTTTGAGGCCATTTTCAAGTAAGATAATGGTAATAATAATAAATCATTCTGAAAGATCCATGACCTTTAAATTCTAATGAGCATTTAACACTGTAACTGGAAGACATTTTAAATATCCAAAATAAATAAAACAAACAAACAAACAAACAATTATAAGATCTCTGTAAACACAAATGGCTAGATGAGACCAAAGCTAGCAATTTGACAGAAGACTGAATACTTTTATAATCCAAATTAAAATGATTAAGCTCATGTTAATCTATAATGCGATTAATTCAGGAGTGTGAAACTAATTTCCATTGTGGGCTATATTTCCTTTAAGGGCCGGTTGATGCAGAATGTATTACTAAAAATAACTAATAATTAAAATATTATAACTTTATCTGGACTCAATGGGTACTTCTAAAAAATAAATATTTATATACATAAAAGTGCATTTGATATAACTAATAAAATAAAATATTGTCACAAAACTGTGATCTTGAAGTCTCTTTAGCGACTAAAGGGCCACAGAAATGGTTATGGTGGGCCGGATTTGGCCCGCAGGCCTTGAGTTTGACACATGTTGATAAAGTGATTTAATGCTTATTTTGACAATACCCTTCTACACAAAATCTAAGTTACCAAAAATAATAGTTAACAAAAACACATGAGCATTATACCTCACATTTTAATGACTGTTATCTAGTCATTTTGAGATATTTTCTCTTTAAAGCTGTTATGACAAGCATAAACCATGATTTTTATACTTACAGCTGCATTGTGCCGATCAGTGAAATGTGCATTGTGCCGATCCCCCCAGGTCACAAGAAAAGAGAAAAAAAAATCAATATCAGATCATCTGACAAACAAATGATTCTGGTTCTGTTTTCTAACTCCGGGAGCCTGGGGCAAAGGTATTCATGATCCAAGCAACTGTAGCAACACAGACAGTTGGGCCAGAGTTGTATATGTTCCACTCCACTTGCTCCTTTAATGTCAGCAGCGCCATAAAGCAAAGGCTGTGCATTGTTACAGCCTTTTCTTCAAGCCTGTGGCTAGGAGAGGATTTTTCCTTCTTATGCCAGAGCATCTTCTGCCTGCCAACACCAGCCCACTCGTCTCCAGTGCGATTCTAGGACGTGATAATGCTGATTTGTCTACAGGATGTGCAGCTCAGTTTTGGTAGTATCACACTATTCCTGTTTGTGAGGGATGGGAGGAAAGATAATAAATGGGATCCCAAAGCAGATAACCTATAGTCAACATGCTCATGATTAATCTAAATGTGAACAGCAATTTCAAATCACAACCGTGTTTCTTTTCCGGTAGAATCACAGAGGTCTACTACAGGAAGTGGTGGCAGGTGGAGGAATCAGTTTAGCTCCTATCTTCATGCAAATGTAGGAGGCCTGGTCTTTACTGAACAATGAATATTAGGTTTCAATTTGAGAACAAAGGAGTAAAGGAGATGCAAGACTCTAATTTACAGACTTGCAACGCAAAGGCGACCAACATAAAGTCAAAACATGAACTCTGAGGTGTTAGATCCACCGTAATCCAGATTAGATGGCAGCCCTAACCTCCTTATGTCTAACCTGACATCAGGTCTGACTCTGCCTGCCAAATGCTCCAGTCACGTCGGCTTAATCAAACCAAAGGTCGCACAGGTCCTGAAAATGAATTTCAGTACAAAATGCGGCTAAAGCGGGAGGCTTTAATCTTGCAGGAACCCACAGAAGCTCGCAAATGTTTCCTGTCATTTACCCGTAACTTCAGGGCACAAAACTTAGCATCGCATCGAGCAGTTTTACCCAAAATGTGACACTGAAGGAAGCTAGTTGTCAAAATGCTGCTTTTTTTTAGGGTGGGCTGCCAAAATGTGTAACTATAAAACGTAAATTTTGGTTTCTTATTCAAAAAGCTAACATAGAACAGAGGAGTAGCGTTTGCTAAAATACTTGGCTACAAAGCTAACGACAGGAAATGACACTCCCGTTAGGTTATACAGCGAACATAAGCTAACAGTTAGCCTGCTAGCATAGCAACCCATCCAAGTGGAGGCGGACTGGGCGTTGGTTGCTCCAACAACTGCCGTAGCTAAACTGCAGCAAATGGTTCAAATAGTGCAGTCGATTCTAAGTAAAACAACAAACAGAACGGTTTAAAACGAGGCTTTTTGCTAAACTGTAGCCGCAGCTGACAGTGGTAATCTCACCCATAACGTTAACGGTCCCTGCCGCCTCAAACACCGATCATTCACAAGCCGACATTCCCCCTTCTCGCTACTTTTACTTGAGCTACGCACAGTGAGTCACGTAAAAGCCTCCAGAGTCAAGGCGGCTGCGGTGCAAAAACTGACGTAAATTCTACGTGAATGTCAGTGGAGCGGAGACATCGTAGATCTCGTGATATTTTCGTGTCCCTTTGAGTGGAAGTGCGCTCTCGCGATACGTCACACACCACAACCTTTAAAGTTAAAATAAACTTCACAAAACAGACCAGTTTTATTTGGAAAAGCACTGAAATGTTGTTAAAATGTATGTTCAAGTTGTATTTTTCTGTTTTCTTTGAATAACAGTTATTCAAATCAACATTATTCTAAATAGATGAATAAACCAGATCAAATCTAGAGCCTTATAACGTCGAAATAGCTATAGAGCTTAGAGACAGCTGGTGGCGTCAGTTGTACCCATGGCAACGAAGACAATGTAGAAAATTGTCGTTTCTTTTTCTCATGAGATAATATTTAGGACGTCAGCTGTTTCGCGATCATAAAATATATTGCCTGTAACTCTGGAATATTTCATTTGTATTCAATTTCTTAAAAATAACTATTTGTTTTTACGGAGGTGGAAAAAGGGTAAGGAACCTAACAATTATTAGCTCATCTGACAACAAGACATTTTCGGTAACCGGTTTTATTTTGGCCAAACAGCTAACACTAAAAGTAATTTCATTCGTTTTTTTACTTGTTGAAGTGACAAGTGTCTGGGAAAACAGGCTAGATAAAAAAAATGTTTGGCTAAATTTAGCTCTTGCTTCATAGGAAACAAAATGTAAAATGTTGAAAATGTCCACCTTGGCTAAGAAAGTGAGACCAGAACAAAAGTTGCCTCTCAAATCTACAGCAACCCAAAGCAAGTAAGACTGGTTATCTCCTCCTCTAGCAATTTTTAAATTTATTTTCCTGATCTGATGTGAGCAAATCACCTGATAAGCATGTTTTCTAGGGCATCTTATGATCTCAAGAGGCTCCAGTCCTTACTTGCCAAAAGCAGCTCCAGACAAGAGGTGAAGAGCAGCACATGACGCCACACTGAAGCAGCATGTCCAGACATTCTGATAATATACATAGCAGCTCATTTTTTTGCATTGTAATGTGATCGTTTCTCTGTGTTTCAGGTGTCGACACCGAGTCACAGTAAAGCAGCCAACAGCAGGGCCATCAGAACGTCACATTCTCCAAAACACAACAGCAGGCTCAGGAGTGAAACTTATCCCGACAATGAAGTGGCTCAACTGGAAAAATTCAGGTTTCCTGCAGTGTAAAATTAAAATTTACTCAGCAATACTGACTTTACAAATCAAATGTACTTACATTATAAACCAGTGACTAAATCCAGATTGCTTTATTCTATGTTGATGGAAGTTTGAGTGGAAAAAAGTGCAGGAGAAAATATAAACATGCAACAAATGCACCTTTAAATACTCAATACTGCCCCTTTAAATAAAAAGTGAGTTAGAAGACGACTGCAGAAAATAAAACCATTTTTATTTTCTGCAGAAAATATTTTCTGAGAGTTTTATAAAGGTACATAAAGAGGTTTTAATCTTTATGAAAATGTTATAAATAAGCCTCTCAGAAGCCCTGATACAAAATAATTAAGTTTTAGGTGAAAATAATCTCTACATCTCATTGTAAGCTAAAGGTGACCTGTTTTGCTTCCTGAAACAGGTTAGGATGCATCAATAGGCCGTACAAAACATATTTATTACATTTTGTTTTGCACAAAATCATTGTCAGATAATGAGACTTGTAGTCTGACCAGTTCTGCCTATTTTAAGCTCCTTTCAGAATAAGCTGCTGCTGGCCAGGCCCCCCAACTCAACGTTTACATTTGCATGTGAAAATGGCTGCAAGCAGGTGCTCAGTTATACACTTTTGCTGGAAAAGCAAAAGTGGAGCCTCCTGCACAACCAGCAAGAATGTTGCAAGTTGTTATCTTTTCCAGCAGCCATTGAACGTCACATTTGGTGTCAAAACAAGCTGACCAAACTTGCTTGAGCTCCCTTTGGGTTGGTAGGTGATGGTTTGGGGTTGCTAGGTAACAGCACAGTGCCCGTCCAATGTGACTTAACAATCTGGAGGTTTTTGAAACGACTCATTTTCCAGGGACCAAAAAACATGAACTTATTGCCACAAAACTACTGGCTGTTTTTAGAAGCAGCAGAAACCCAGATGGAAGTATAAATATGTTAAAAAAGTGAGTTTTGCATCATATGTCCCCTTTAAATGAACTTGTAATTAGTAGTTCTTCTAAGGTTTACAAGCAAAATTTGTCTCTCTGTGAAGAATCAAACTAAATGTGGTTTATTTTCTTATCGTGTTGATTTTTTCTGTTTCCAGCATAATATACAAAGACCAAAGATGTTTCAGCAGCCACCCGTTGAATAAACTGTTCCTGGACATTCTTACATCCTTGGTCAGGAATCGACTCTGCAGGTAAATTACTGTGGAAATACTTGAGCTTTTCATAGTTTTTCACATGTAAAGTTTTTATTAACTATTATTATTTATTGAAAGTGAATGGATCGACCATGCAACACCCGAAGCCGTCAATAGAGTACTGATCTGCCTTCGACTGTTGATCAGGGATCCCAATTATCAGGCACAAACCAAAAAGAAAAATCTAATTTAATTGTTTTTTTCTGTCTTTTGTGTAAAACAACTATGATTTTTGGGGTATTTTTACAGAATATTCTTCACCAGCTCGAAGGCATCAGTCTGCTTGCCAAGGTAAATGCTTAAGGTTTTATTTATAACCTCAAACAACCTTTTCATCCAAATATATCTCATGCACCTCTTATTGGCCTTCTGTTTCTCTGCAGTATATGGAGTCTGTCACTGCCAAGTACATATCCTGTGGTGAGGAGGTGTTGGATACACAGAAGCTCGTTACAATGACCTGTGAGTAGGCAGAACCACAGAAACACTGGCAGATGGAGCTGGGTTTGTCTCAATCAGCAGCAGAATCACTGATTTTATCTGTCACAGACATGTTTCAGAAGCTGTCGACCGCTGATAATCAAAGGCTGTGGGTCATTCAGAGTGGCGCGCACAGGGTAATTTTCATTTATGTACTCAGAGCCTTTGTCCAGAGCATGTCATTTTTATAACTAGGAGTTTGATTATTGGTTGAATTAAAAAAAGAAAAAGAATAGAAAGACTCATGCATTTCCTGTTAATCTCAGACCAACTTTCTTGAACTACAGGAAACATCAAAACGCAAAGAAATATACTATGATATATAGAACAGAAATTAAATTTCTACTTTTAAATTGGTCAGACGTTGGTGAAACTCCTCTCCACCACAGACCGCAACGTTTTACAGGGAGCTCTGCTTGCACTCACCGCTTTGGCAGAGAGGTACATACTTGTTCTTTCTTTCATTTATTTCAGTCATTCTTAACATTTCTATATGCAAATATGTATAAAACACAAACAGTGCTGACAAACTGACTAAACAAAAAAATTATTCCAACTTGGATATGTGTTTAGATATTGTATTATATAAACAATATTCCTGTCAGTGGCAAGAACAAAAAGTGTAGAAGTAAAACGTTAGGTTATTATA